CTTTCTACCATAAGTTGCTTCTGCCAGCGCATTATTTATTTATTTTGAGACAAGATCTCTTTAAGTAGACTTGACTGGTATGCACACTCACACATGTGCATACACATAAATTAAAAAAATGCAATGAAAAAATTTAAAAGAACTAAAGAAAAAAATTAAAATCACTAATTTCATCATGGGAGTCAGCTTGTTACCTTGTCTAATTCTAATTACCTCCCAAAGGTCCAGTCTTTAGTTACTAGTAGCATATATTTGGGAACTGAGTTTCTAGCACATGAATTTTTGGAGAAAACACTCAAGTTATAGCAGCATTATACCTTTCTATTTTAATTCTGGAATACATTACTACCGTTGGGATCATTGTCAAGTTCAGTAGCAGTAATATCATTGTATAACAGCTTGCATTCTTGAAAGTAAAGTCATCAAATCTGGACAGATCAATGTGTCTTATTTACTAGAAGTATACTTTGGGCCAGTTTCCTGCATGCCTTAATCACCCTTGTTACCACTGATAATTTTTACAGAAAGAGTGACATGATAATTTATATCCAAAAGGGAAAATTCATGAGTGAAAGTGAATTTGATGAACTGGAACAAGCGGTGTAAATCAGCACCACCCCTGGAAGCCTAGACTAGGACTGTCTTATTTGTGCTGTTGTATTAAATGAGAAAATACTTAGCATAGAATGTGGGGCATAATAAGTGTTCAGTAAAGGCATTTACTTATTCAAAAGTTCACTTAGGTTAATTTAAATAGTAACACGCTGGTATCTTTATGGTGTGCATGATGGAGCATAAGATGGCTTAGAGTTTTTTTCAAGAGTAAGAAAAACTCTAAACCAACCAACCAACCTCGTAAAAGGTTGACAGACACTGTAAAAATTTCTATTTACAAGATCATGGAATGACAGTGTGTGACTTACTTGTGAATTATTTATCATTTACAAGCTTGAAGGCAACAATCAAGTTCTTATATTTGTGATTTATTGTAGCATTGGCCCAAAGTCCTCTATACTCTTAAACATTGGTGAAAACTGAAAAGTACTTTAAAAATGTACCTACTGGTAGTTTTGCTATATTACAAATAAAATTTGAGAAAATTAAACAAACAAACAAACTGGTGTCTGCCTATAATCCCAGGACTTGTGAGACAAAAGTAGGAAGATTGTGAGTTTGACGCCAGCTTGGCCTTTAAATAGATAAATAAAAGAAAAAGAAAAAAAAACTCATTTATTTAAAGTAACTCTTTTGCTGGACACATACCTTTAATTAATGTACCTGAGAAGCGGAAGAAGGTGGATCTCTGTAAGGCCAGGCTCCTCTACAAGGATAGCCAAAGCTACATAGAGAAACCCTGTACAAAAAAATAATAAAATAGAATAAAAAAGTAACTGTTACAAAACCAAAAACAATTAGAGTTCAATTGTTTTGCTTTCTGCTAAATCACATCCCCCACACAAGGTATCAAGTATCCTAGGCTGGTCTTGAACTTGTGTAGCCAAGGCTGACTTCGAACAAGTGATTCTCCTGCCTTTACTTTTTAAGTGCTGGGACTGGGCTTGAAGACCTCTTTCCTTCCTTCCTTCCTTCCTTTCTTTTTGGTTTCTCAAGACAGGGTTTCTCTGTAGCTTTTGAAGACTGTCTTGGAATTAGCTCTTGTAGACCAGGCTGGCCTCCAACTCAGAGAGATCCGCCTGCCTCTGCCTCCCGAGTGCTGGGATTAAAGGTGTATGGTGCCACCGCCCAGCAGGACTAAGATTTTAATAGACTTTCTAGATGAACTGTGGATATTCTTCAATACTATAGTACAGCTGCATGTAGTTTCCTACCCACCTACCTTGTAGGTGTCCACAACCATGTTCTAATTTGTGTGGCTGGAGCTCAAACCCATGGTTTTGTGCATATCAGGCAAGCTCTCTAACAGAGATACCCCTCCCCACTAACAGGTCCAAACTTTAAAGAACAGCTTGTGTGGTATGATAATGATCTTTCAGATAAACAAAGAAAATATATTTTTAAAAGCACAGGGGCTATAAAGACATAATTACACAAAAGCACATTAACAGAAAATTGCAAAAGTATATATATTCTAAATAACACACATATATTATAAGATAGTATACAATTCCTACTTGCAATTTAAAATTCTTTCTATGTAAGTATCAGATATTCTTATAGAAACATCTAATTTAAATATTTCCATTGTTTTGGAGCTTGAATTCTATTAAAAGTTTTTTCAAGAAAGTTGTGCAGGTGCCTCTGGGGAACTTAAAATGCTCCATTTAATCCATTTACCAAAATCAGAATTATGAGGAAGCCTGCATGGAACCGAATTAGACCCTTTGAATGTGAGTGACAGTTGCATAGTTGGATCTATTTGTAGAGCCCCTGGCAGTGGGACTAGGATTTATTCCTGTTGCATGAACTGGCTCTTTGGAGCCCATTTTCTATGATGGATACTTTGCTCAACCTGAATGCAGAGGGGTGAGGCTTGGTCCTGCTCCAACTTGATATGCCAGGCTTTGCTTTTTTCTATTTTTTTTATTACTTTATAAATAATACCATTCAAAATTTCCACTTCCTCCCTTCCTACTTCCATCCAGCTACCCCACTCTCCCCCCCCCTCCCTCCAGTACTTAGAGAGGGCAGGATACCTTGCCCTGTGGGAAGTTCAAGGCCCTCCCCACTCCACTCAGTATACTAGGCTTTGTTGACTCCCCATGGGAGGCCTTATCCTCTCAGAGGGTGGGGAGAGGAGGGGGTGAAGGGGAGGGAAGGGGAATTGTGGTTGGTATGTAAAATGGAAAAAAATATCCTGTCAAATAAAAGCATATTGCAATGATGCTGAACACAACATAAATTTTCTAGATATGTTTCCTATTGATCTGGTAATGTGTCTGAATTTTAGTATCTAATTTAGTATCTAATTCTAGTATCTTGCTTTATTTTTTTCCTCTGTGAGAACTGACCTTATAAAATTCATTCTGAGAATCATAAAGTCATTTTTAAGAAATGTTATAGCTTCCAGTTTTGTATTGTTATGGGACTCCTGAGTGTATGAATGAGAGGATCTCTGATTTTTGTTCTTTCTCTTGCAACTTTCCTCTTTCTGTGGGTTTGCCTTCTTCAACTTCGATATGATGTTTTTTATTTTACCTTGTAATTTATCTTGTTATACCTTAGAAGCCTGCTCTCTTCTAATGAGAGACAGAAAGGGAGTATACTCAGAGGGGACCAGAGGTGGGGAGGAAATGGAAGAGGAAACTCAAATCAGTATGTATTGTGTGAGAAAAGAATCTATGGCCTGGTGGTGGTGGCGCACGCCTTTAATCCAGCACTTGGGAGGCAGAGGCAGGTGGATCTCTGTGAGTTCTAGGCCAGCCTGGACTACAAGAGCTAGTTCCAGGACAGGCTCCAAAGCTACAGAGAAACTCTGTCTCGAAAAACAAGCAAAACAAAACAAAAATCTAATTTTAATAAAAGGAAAAAAATTCCTGGACAAAAAAAAATTGATGGATGGCAAAAAGTCCACTAAAATATTTTCCTAAGTTTTCTGCTTGAAGCCTGGGCTAAGTACTATCCATTTATTACAGTTCAAGTTTTCTTTGTAGCGGCAAGATAGAAGTCTCAAGTGGAGTAGCTTATACTAGAGGAACTCCTGTACAAACTTCATTTTGCCTCTTCTGTTCTACTCCAGGTTTAGTTATCTTTTTATGGAGTGGGTCATTATGTAGCGCCCAGATGGGCCATACACTCACCATCATCCTTGCCCTTTCTCAGCTACTCTTGTGAATAGACATGCGCCTTCGCAACCAAGCTTTTAAAAGCAGCAGGATGGGGCAGGCTGATCCTAATTTTCAGAAGAACTTCACTCTCTAAGTGGTCTTAATGAAGAAGCTACAGAAGTGCCAGTTAACAAAACTGTCAAGAAGAAATTTGCTTAAGGCAACATACTTTAAAAACTCAGTTTCCCAGTACTCCCCATCGCCTTCCCCACTCCCGCTGTGTAAACAACGCCCCACTGGTGATCCACCCAGGCCTGTCATCTTCTAGCTCAATTTCAAACCTATTCCTTTATCTTCTAGCAAATATCTTTTGTATACTGTGAAGTCTGAGCTTCCATCAGGTTGTGATACGCTGACCTCAACTTGATTGAATTACTAAGTGTTTACGAACTACTAACAAGCTGATGAGCTGAATAAATTTGTTATAGAGTAACAATATGTAACCACTGAGCAGACTGCTTAGTCTCGTTCCAACCCTATCAAAAGCTAATAAGCCATCTAGATATTAATCTAATTACCCTGAATGCCTAGCCTCTAGCTGAAGGGCAATCTTAAGGAGATGCGAAGTGAGGGCATTATGTTACTGACAGCCTCACTGGTTTTAGATATAAAGCAAAAAGTACAAAGAAGGGAGTCCCTGGGGTTTTCAGGAATCCTTTGACATTCAACTTATTCTCCAGATTGACTTAAGGTTTTTAAAATGGAACTTCAGTGTTGCGGAAGCTCGAAGCCATGATCACCAAGTATTATTTTTAGGTTACGATGGGTCCTTGAACTTGGGTGTACGTGAGTCTGGTCAGGCTAACGTCATCTCGGCCCTCCGCGGGGAGTCTCGACTCCTCTCATAGCCGTTCCAATCCCGAGGCTGGGATAAGGATAGTGGTCCAGGTTCGTCCGAGTCCTGCCGTGACCTTTCACTGCAGGCGAGCGACGAGCGCCGCGGCTGGCGCCGCCGGGTGCCCCCTCCAGCGACAGCACAGCGACAGGACAGCACGCACGGCCCACGCCTCCTCTCCTTTCTTTAACCCCGCTCCTCCGTCCCACCCCTTCCGGAAGCGGGGTGGGCTACGTCACTTCCGGCGACGGTCAGGGTCCTGGCGGGAGCGAGCACGCCGCCGCGCAGCGCCTATGTTCCCACCTCTTTCGACGGCGCCACCACTCCCTGTCCGCGTTCCTGAACGTGACGAGCGTGCGCGCCGCCGGCCTAGCGTCGGGCTTCGGGGAAAGGCCGGAGGAGCGCGGCGAGGGGGTGGTGCGGGGTGAGGCCCCGCCAGCCAGTCGCGTCGCCTTCCCGCAGGGAGAACGCGGAGCGAAGGGAGGGGCGAACGGCGCGCGCAGAGCCCGCGTGGAGGGGCGGAGGACAGCGGGCCGCGCCCCCGCTCCGGAAACTGCGCGCAGTGCCCTCGGGGCGCGAGGCCCAGGCCCTTCCGAGCGCCGCGGGGTGTCGCCGCCGCCGCCGCCACAGGACGACGTGGACGCGCAGCGGCGGGCGACGGAGGCGTGCTGCGGTCGCGCCCACTGCCCTCCCGCGAGCTCGCTCGCCCCCGACGTCAGGACGATGGAGTGAAGCGCGGCCCGCGGTGGCACTTCCGCGTTGCGCCGCCGGAGCCCGAGGCCGCCGCCGCCGCCTGGCGCGGCCGGCTTTTCTGCTGCCGAGGACAGGATCTTCCCGCGCCAGGCCCGGAGGCCGCTGCGCACACACCGCGACTGGACCCGGGGACGCGCGTCCCGACCCGGATTATCGTGGCGCGGCTCCCGGCCGGCCCTGCTGCTCGCTGCCCCCTCCGCCGCCGCTGCCGTCCCCCTTCCCGGCGGGGGACATGGCCAGGGTCTGACCCCGGAGGAGGCCGCACCCTCGCCGCACTCTGCGGCGGGCTCTAGGCGATGCCGAGCAGCTCGGACACGGCGCTGGGGGGAGGCGGGGGCCTGAGCTGGGCCGAGAAGAAGTTGGAGGAGCGCCGCAAGCGGAGGCGATTCCTGTCCCCTCAGCAGCCGCCGCTGCTGTTGCCGCTCCTGCAGCCGCAGCTCCTGCAACCGCCGCCGCCCCCGCCGCCTCTGCTCTTCCTGGCTGCCCCCGGCGCGGCCGCCGCCGCAGCCGCCGCCGCCGCGGCCTCCTCCTCCTGCTTCAGCCCGGGCCCCCCTCTGGAGGTCAAGCGGCTGGCGAGAGGCAAGAGGCGCCCGGGAGGGCGGCAGAAGCGGCGCCGCGGGCCCCGCGCCGGGCAGGAGGCGGAGAAGCGCCGGGTCTTCTCGCTGCCCCAGCCGCAGCAGGACGGCGGTGGCGGTGCCAGTAGCGGCGGGGGTGTGACCCCGCTGGTGGAGTACGAGGATGTGAGCTCCCAGTCCGAGCAGGGGCTGCTGCTGGGGGGCGCCAGCGCGGCAACGGCGGCGACGGCTGCCGGGGGAACGGGGGGCAACGGCGGGAGTCCGGCCTCCTCCTCCGGCACGCAGCGGCGCGCGGAGGGGTCGGAGCGCAGGCCGCGCCGGGACCGCCGCAGCAGCAGTGGCCGCAGCAAGGAGCGCCACCGCGAGCACCGGCGGCGGGACGGGACGCGCAGCGGCAGCGAAGCCTCCAAGGCCCGCAGCCGCCACGGACACAGTGGAGAGGAGCGGACCGAGGCCGCCAAGAGCGGCAGCAGCAGCAGCAGTGGCGGCCGCCGCAAGAGCGCCTCGGCTACGTCTAGCAGCAGCAGCAGTCGCAAGGACCGGGACCTCAAGGCCCATCGCAGCCGGACTAAGTCGTCCAAGGAGCCGCCCTCGGCCTACAAGGAGCCGCCCAAGGCCTACCGGGAGGACAAGAGCGAGCCCAAGGCCTACAGGCGGCGGCAGCGGTCCCTGAGCCCGCTGGGAGGCCGGGACGAAAGCCCAGTGTCCCACAGGGCCTCGCAGAGCCTCCGGAGCCGCAAGTCTCCCAGCCCGGTGGGAGGTGGCAGCAGTCCTTATTCCCGGAGGCTGGCGCGCTCCCCGAGTCCCTACAGCCGGCGCCGTTCGCCCAGCTACAGCCGCCACAGCTCCTACGAGCGGGGCGGCGACGTGTCCCCCAGCCCGTACAGCAGCAGCAGCTGGCGGCGCTCGCGCAGCCCCTACAGCCCACTGCTCAGGTGAGTCCTACTCCCTAACCCTAAAAGGCAGGGAGAGTGGGGTTAGGTGCTTCAGGCCCTAACCACCAGAAATCACCAGAAGATGGATTTCTAGCGGGCAGGGGTGCTGTGAGAACCTATGGGGGTCGAAGGAACCCCCTTCTAAGAGTTCAAAGTTTTAAACTTGTTGCTTTTACTATCAGCAGATTTTTTTTCAAAGCATTCTGCTCTCCCTGCATTTCTAGTTTGGATAAACCCTAAAAGTAGCTTAATTTGTCTTAATGTTTTTGGAGAAAAGGTTATTCTGTTGGTGATTTATTAATGGATTGCATTGCAGGGACTTAATATTGTATGTAAGTCTCAAATTTGTATATTGGTGTCTGTTATGTAAAGTGAACTAAAAGTGGCTTTAAAGTACTTTGTAGGTTTTGTAATTTCTTATGTTAACATATTTGAGGCTTCTAGTCTTTTTGGTTTGGGGTATTGTAAGCTAGCTTTAGGATTGGGGTTATTTTTCTATTGTAGTTTTTGGTAATGCCAAATGGATGGAATACCTGTAAGGTCTGGTTTTGCTGGTGCCCAGTACAGTGTATGTGTCTATGAAATTTGCAGATCTTTTACTAACTATAAAGTTGTGAGTAGAACACCTGAGTGTCTTTAAACCGTACGATCTGTATGCATGTATTCATACAGTGTTCATGTACACACGAAATGCCAGTTTTAAGAGTTTTGCAGCTGACAACTCTTACAGCAAGTCTGACTTGTGCTTTTTATACAATGTTACTTTTTACTTGTATTTTACCTTTGCCAGATCGTTTTTATTTTCTGCAATTCAGTTTGTTTTGCAAACTGGCAAGGTTAAGTTTCATAACTATATAGCAATTTGATGTGTAATGGCAATTTTAACAATAGGTTTGTGTTTCTAGATATTTTAGTGAGGTTTTGTTGTTACACGTTGGTGATACATGTGTATTATATAGTGGAGTTTGTGTGGTTAGCACTGTACATGCTTAGTAAATACCTAAGAGCACAGATTATATGCCAGTGCTAGTTTAGGCACTGAAGTGGAGCAGTGAAGGAATGTCATAGGTGCCGTGTTGGGGTGAAAGACAGAGTTACTGTCCTCAGAGCTAGCATGTAGAAAGTCCATTCACTAGAAGTCTTTTCATGCTGTGTGTTTGACCAGCTTTATTTCCGAAGGGTTGGTTTGGGAAGAAACTTTTCTACAATATTGGCCATCGTTTCTGATAACAGGCCATGTGGCTTGTGTCTGAGTAAATAAATACTCAGGTAGGTAGGAACACATTATGATGTTTGGGCAGTCTGGGTTGGACTTGAATTCAGGCACTGTTTGTGCAGTTTCTTGTATGATTTGTCCAGTTTCTTAGCAAAACCATTGAAGACTTAGGTTGCTAAACTATAATATGTAATGCTTGTCTTTTTATTATTTCAAGGGATAAATGAAATAATAATATGAAGTATACAGCCTTTCAGAAATCTAAAGTGGTTGAATTGCGAATAGTTTGAATTGTTAAAAATCTTTTGAAACAGAAATGCACATCGTGTAGTTTCCAAATATAAAGCTTTGGAATAGTCCAAAACAAATGTGGGTACTAGTTCTTTAAAACATGAAGATAGCTGTCATGTTTCCAAGTTTTCTCTCATCAAAGGCTTGCCTTTTTTTTTTTTTTTTAAATAAGGCATGGTAAGGTTTGTTATTGCTGTTTGCTTTGCATTGTGTTACTCCTCTAATGTTCTGCTTAAAATTTGGGGCCCAAAATTAATGACTAGTTTTACTTGGAAAACAAGATTTAGAAAAATAGCAAATGTACTTACTGCTCGGGAACATGAATTCACTTGTTCAGCTTAGTGCAGGAAGTTTTATTTACTTCCAGGTCTAGTAGTGGAACCAGATGACTGGCTGTCTGAGTGGAGGAGGTAGAAAGCTCCACGGTGGCCTCTGGCCTTTCGTGCCCACCATTGATTCCTAATGCTCACTGCTGTCTTTGGGTACACTTGATAATTGTTGAATAGCTAAGTGAAGGGATGATAGAGTTGACTGAATATAGAAACTGTTATGTTTCTGGCTTACCTGCTTTATTTGAGTAAATTATTAGTATAGACCATGTACTGTTCTGTAATACACATCAATATGACATTTTTTAAGCCCACAAACTAATGAATTACCAGCGTAGATGTGTCCATACTCAAAATAGTATTGAAATCATCTAGAGGCTTCCACCTTACAACCTGTTCTTTCTCTGCATTTGTGTCTCCAGTTTTCTGCTCATGCATTTCATCATTTTCTTAGCTTAACTTCTCTTCATACGCTATTTAATGAATTTTTCTTTATTTCATTGTTGAGGTGTGTGAATTCTTACCATCTTCCTGATAAGCCATGTAATAAATGTGAGGTGTGTTGATAGAAGGAAAGCAAGAGAAAGGAACTGAGTGTAGTGTTGTGTGTGGTATGCGCTGAAATGGTCTAACAATATCCTCACAAGCAAGTCTTTGTGATAGTTCCCACTGATGGATTAGGAAACAGATATCCCCAAAACTTGAGTGATTTACTGATGAAATAGGAAATAAATGCTTCAAAGACTTAAGTGTCAGTTTGGATTTAAACCCTGAGCGGATTTGAAAATCTTTAATATTGTGGTATATTCAACAAAACAAAACAAACCTTTTAAGGGTACTTAATAGTCAGTTTTGTTTCACTGGCTATTTCTCCCTCCATTTAAAAATATATTTAAAAAGCTTAAAGTATTTTATTTTATGAGAGTTTCGCTGTGTATGTTTGTGTATCACATGCTGGCCTGGTGTCTGCTGAGGTCATATGATCAGAACAGGGTGTCTGATGCTCTACCAGTGGAGTTACAGACAGTTGGTTGCTGGGAATGGAACCTGGACCCTCTGCAAAGAGCAAAAAGTGCTTTTAACCAGTGAGCCAACTCCTAGCCCCTAAGGATTTTTTTTTTTAAAGAAATTTTCTAGATAGACTATGGCTTGGCCTCATTTTAGTCAGCACTTAGGATGTCGAGACAGGAGTTGGTGAAGGTTAGCAAGGACTACATTGAGACCATATCTGAAAACACAAGAAACAAAATCAGTTTTTCTGATGATACTGTCAGGTTGATTGTAGTTTTTGTTTGTTTGTTTGTTAACTTACTTATTTTTATAGTCCTTGGATTGAACCTAGATTTTCTGGCTTGTTAAGAAAGCCTTCCACCACTGGTCTCTTCCAGCCTCAATCTGGTTTTAAAGAACAGTGGGGAGGTTTAAAATCTTTGGATGATTTTTTTCTATTTTTTTTTTACAAGATAGGCCAGAAATATTTCTCAGAGATAGTAATTATTAGTTTTTGATGACTAATTTGCTGTGGGAGGTTTGACCTGCAGTTACTGAAATCAGGTTAATTACCATCAGTAGGATGAGGTATGTATGAGTGATTTTTGTCTCCTTTTGTGCTCTATTGTGTGAGGGTTCAGCAGAAGGCTTTGCTTCTGAATAATACCAAGACTGAGAATCCAGTGACTGGACTTTAGATAGAGATAAAAGTTAAGTCACTGGTCTTTACTAGCCTATTATATGGGACACCTGGTTAAGTTATTTTGTTCTCACAACTGCTGTTCAAAATAATGTGAAATTATTTTGTTATAGAATGCTTCTGGTTTGATATGTACATTATAGAAATAAGTACCAGAAATGTTAGATAGAGAATAAGTGTAGAAACAGAAGAGAATGGATCTTTGGGTAAATTGTTTAAAGTTTCCAAAAGTTGTAGTACTACCTTTCATTCTAAGAAGATGAACTGGTATCTTGTCTTTTTTCTGGTCAGTTTTTACATCATTTTTTCATATGTTCCATCGTCATTAAGTCTCTTTCCTCTTAACAGTAATATTTATATCTGCCTTTCCATTCTTTTATAAATTTAATTATTATTTTCATTTTAATTTTTTCTTGACAGTTTCTCTGTGTAACACCACTGACTGTCCTGTGACTTGTGTTTTAGACTGGGCTGGCCTCAAACTCACTGAGCTCTACCTGTCTCTGCATCCTGAGTGCTGGGATTAAAGGAATGCACTATGCCTTTCCATTTCATTTAGGCTGTCATTATTAATGGGTTAGACTTTTTATTAGTACCCTCCTACTAATAGAAAACAGGATCTCACTCTAACCCAGTGTGGCCTGTACTTGAGGCAGTGCTGCCTCAGCCTCTGTAACACTAGTATTAAAGGAGCTACTGTAACTGTCTCCTGAACCCTTTCTGGCTCATGCTTTATTCTTGCTACATGGTTAAATAGTGTCTATCTCTTTTGTACTATTGGGTATAGACATTGTGATACATTGTGACTTAATGTCTTTATTTATGACCCCATTCTGCCAGGACTCTTATTTTTCAGACACATGTATTTTTCTGTATTTTCCTATTAACTGTTCTCTGAGCTTGAAATGGTAGAAGAGACATTGATAACCCTTTTTCCCTCTTTGCCATTTATCTCCCATTCAGAACTCTATCTCAGAACTTAACAGCTTAATTGCTTATTCATCTGGATGTTCGTTTGTGCTCTTTATAGCACTGTTTTGTTTTTGCTGTAGTGCTGTTAAAAGTTCTGCTATTCTACCTTAAGTAATTGGCTGATTACATTTGTTTGTTCCTACTAGATAATAAGCTAACAGGACAAATTTCCAAAATTTATGTGGTAGTAGTGGTTTAATTCTTTAAGTGCCCCTCACCCCTTTCTTCTTCACACAGTAAAGCAAACCAATTGTACAGATAACATCTTGAAACTTGCTAGCCATTTTGGTTCACATAGTCTTTAGAGTTGGGGAAGTAATTGTGATTTATATATAGAGAGAGACTTTAGTGGGTAAAAATATTTACTGTACAGGTCTTGAATTTGGTTCAGAAGAGAACTGATTCTGGAAAATTGTCCTCTGACCTTTACATGCCCATGGCCTAAGTGCCCACACTTAACAGTTGTCTTTCTGTCTGTCTTGCTCCTGTCCGTCCGTCCATC